TAAATCCATGTGTTATAGTGTGTCATTTAAGGTCATTGTTTCCTTGTTGATTTTCTGTCTGGAAGATCTGTCCATTGGTGACAGTGGGTGTTAAAGACCCCTACTATGAATGTATTACTGTCAGTCTTTCCCTTTATGTTGGTCAATATTTGCTTTGTATATTAGGTGCTCCTATGTTGGTTGCATAGAAGTTTACAAGGGTCATATTGTCTTGTTAGATTGATCCCTTTATCAGTATGTAAAGTCCCTCTTTGTCTCTTATTATAGGCTTTGTTTTAAAGTCTATTTTGTCTTATATAAGTATTACTGCTCCAGATTTTTATTCATTTCCATTTGCATGAAGTATCTTCTTCTAGCCCTTTATTTTGAGTCTATGTGGGTCTTTCAATCTGAAGTGGGTGTCTTATAGACAGCATATGTGTGGGTCTTGTTTTCTTATTCATTTACTTACCATATGTCTTTTGATTGGAACATTTAATCCATTTACATTTAAAGTGATTATTGTTAGGTACATAGTTATTCCCATTTTATTATTCATATTTATGTTCTTTTCCCCCCATTTTCTTCTTAAAGAAATTCTTTTAATATTTCTTGTAATACTGGTTTGGTGATGATGAACTCCTTTAGCTTTTTCTCCTCTGGGAAACTGTTTATCTTTTCAATTTTGAATGATATTCTTGCTGGGTAGAGTAATCTTGGTTGTAGGTCCTTGCTTTTCATCACTTTGAATATTTGCTGCCAATCCCGTTTTGCCTGCAGAGTTTCTGTTGAGACATCAGCTGACAATCTAATGGGAGTTACCTTGTAAGTAACTAGTTGCCTTTCTCTTGCTGCTTTTAGGATTCTCTCTTTGTCTTTAACCTTTGCCATTTTAATTAAAATGTTTCTTGGTGTGGGCCTGTTTGGGTTCATCTCTCTGTGCTTCCTTGGCTTGTATTTCTGTTTTCTTTGCTAGGTTGGGAAAGTTTTTAATCATTCTTTCTTTTCTTTTTTCTTTTTTTTTCAGTCTTTTAGAACTTTTAATAGAGTATATGTTTCCTAAGGCTGGCCCTCATACTCCCTCAGCGCTTTCTAGCCTGAGGCTGTCACCCCAGGTTCTCCACATTATGTTAGTAGGTGCCATCAGGTGG